TTCCTTCCTTCCTTCCTTCCTTCCTTCCTTCCTTCCTTCCTTCCTCTCTTCCCTTCTTTCCTCTTTCCCTTTCTCCTTTCCTGTCCCTTGCATGCTCAAATGCAAAAGAGGAAACATCCCTCCTTCAGCCCTCTGCCCTCCCAAGCTCCGTTTTCGATGGAAGAGGGCTGCAGGAGGCCATCGCGGCTGAAAACGGGGCCCAGGGGTGGCCTCGCAATCCAGATCTAAGCACCCCTGTGTTCCGGATCCAGACCGCAGGTCTTGAGTTTGACACCCCTGGAGTAGAAAGCCTTGGTCTGATTTAAGCTGCCTTGACAGAAAGAGGTGTGAGATTTCTCAAACCAAACCAGGCAGTTGGATGCCATCCGGCCATGCATGACTTCAAGGCCAGTGGTAACAAATACAAGGTAAGCATGTAATGTGAACCGTGAAGAGACCTGATGAAGATTCACCGGTAATCCTGGCTTATGAAACTGACTTGACAAAAGAAGGGACGTGTCAACTCGTAGAATATTTCTATGGTCTTTTTAGAGTTGCCAACAGAAAGAGACTGGGGAGCAGTGAGGCAGTTTGGAAATCGAAAGTGCATCCCATAAATAGTTTTTCAAAGATAGTAACAAGGTGACTGAAGTTTCTGCCATGCAAATATCTAACTGGAGAGCATGATGGATGGCTCTTGGCTATGGAGGTGTCCCATTGGAGAATATGAATTAGGATACATCCATGGGGGGGGGGGGGGGGGGAAACCAGGGTCAAGGGTGACAATGAAGGATGTGTCTCAGAGTCGGCTGCACCCAAGGCAATGCCGGCATGTTAACTCGCAATAAATCCTTTTTAAGTTTTGGAAGTTTGGCTCGAGATTCATGATTTAATTGCAGGAATCCTGGCAGGATGAGCATCCATTAAGGAAATAATTGCTTCCTTAACCTTTTCCCACTCTCTTTTTTTTCTCTAAAGGAAACTGAATTTCCCTCTTTTGTAGAAGATTCCAGATTAAGGTGGCGGATGTCGTGCCCACCTAATGGTTGCGTTCCCTTTAATCTTCGCAGAGGTGAGTAGCAAGGAAACAAGGAACAACTTTGCTTTCGAACGGTCTCCTGCACGATTACAGGTAGTCCTCGGCTTAGAACAGTTTGTTTAGTGACCGTTCGAAATGGCGACGGCTCTGAAAAATGACTCTTTCCCACACTTAGGACTGCTGCAGCCTCCCCATAGTCACGTGATCACAATTCAGACACACGCCAACTGACTAGTATTTATGACAGCCACATCACGGTCTGATCTCAGTATGGTATATAAAATCATACATTGCAATGTCCTACCTGTCAATGAATCCTTCAGCTTCAACCATAACAACACAAGAGCAAACAATAGATACAAACTCAAGTTTAATCGCACCAAACTTGACTGCAGGAAATACGACTTCAGCAACAGAGGGGTCAGTGTCTGGAATCCTCTATCTGACTCTGTGGTTTCTTCCCCAAACCCCAAAAACTTTAACCTTAGACTGTCTACTATTGACCTCACCCCTTTACTAAGAGGTCTGTAGGGGATGTGCATAAGCGCACCAATGTGCCTACCGTCCCTGTTCTATTGTTTCTTTTTTCCTTATATGTATCAATTTCATGTATTCATAACTATGTTTATATTTATACCCTTATCTTGTAAACGATTGACCAATCAAAAATAAATAAAAATAAATTGGGTGAAAAAATTCTTGTTAAGTGAGAAATTCGTTTTAAGTGAGTTTTGCCCCATTTTACGGCGTTTCTTAAATTCGTTAAGTGAATCACTGCAGTTAAGTGAGTCACATGTCGTTAAGTGAATCTGGTTTTCCCATTGACTTTGCTTGTTGGAAGGTGGCAACGGGATCCCGTGACTCATAAATATGAGTCAGTTGGCAAGCACCTGAATTTTATTCATGTGACGAGGGGCAGGCTGCAACAGTTATATGTGTAAAAAAGATAAGTTTTTTTCTGCGCCATTGCAACTTCAAACGGTCACTAAACAAGCAGTTGTAAGTCGAGGACTGCCTATCTACATGTCATGCCCTTGGTAGAGTCGGACTCTGAGGGAGAGGAGGAACAGCCGACGGAGTGGAGGTGTGGCTCCGGAGGTTGTGGATGAGGCTGGGGAAGGGCAGAGGCCGGCTGGGCAGTCAGAGGAGGACCCAGGCCCATCCCCTCTCCATCCTAGCCACACGCAGGGAGGAACTGAGAAGGAAACAACTTGGCTTACGAGAGAGGAAGCGGCCCTGATTCCCCCTCATTGGTTGCAGCCGGGGAGACTAGTATATAAGAGAGAGGATTAAAACACAGCGTTGCCAGTAGCAAAGTTATCTTCGTTGGCGTTCTTCCAACTGACTGCCTTGTTATCTCCTTGAAATTGGTAATTACGTATCCTGGTCAGTTGTGGAAATTCCGTCATTGTAGTTTGTTTTTTATTTCACCTCTATCTGCTCATTATGTTCGGACGGTGTTGCTTTCTTTTGAAGACTATTTTTGAATAAATTTTATCTCCAACTGAGAATTATTGAACAGCGGGGCCAAGTTGGAGGCATTAAAAGACATTTATTTACGTTTTGGGTTTTATTCTGTTTGTGTTACGCTCTCGGGCCATTATAACATGCATAAATGTTTTTTTTTAATTTTTTTTTTTCAGTTTTCCACATTTTAAAAACTTCTTCAGTGAACAGCATGATTCCAGGTTTTCACATTTCCATGCAAACGTTACCATAATTAGATACTCATCTTTCACATTTAGTTTCATATCTTACCAATATTTTACATACTTTCTGTTATTGTATTTTTTCCCAAATACTTTCCTCCAGCTTAAACTTTAAATAACTCTCATACCTTCATGTTGTGACTCGGAGGTCTGAACCTGCCTAGTTAGAAAATACAGGCTTAAGAAATGAGGAAGAGAGGGATTTGGCCTCGAGATTTGAGCCTGCTTTGCTGGAAGACACAGGCTTGAGCCAGGAAGAAGAGGAGGATTTGGCTCTGAGGTTTGAGCCTGCGTTGCTGGAGGGTTCGGAATCATCTTCCTCCCCAGGACCTTCCTCCCTGGTTGTGCCTCAGGTGTCGGCAGATAATCAGGAGAGCGTGCTGGAGTCTTTGGCTGAGGATCAAGCTGAGGAATGCTGGTTTGATGCGAGGCGAAGACGCAGGCATAGGCGTGAGATCCAACGTAGAAGGAAAGGACAAATCAGGGACTGAGATGAGAGACTGACATGCCCCTCAGGGAATAAAAGAGGGAGTGTTAGCTCTGAATCCTTGTTCGGGACAACTTGTTTATTTGGGACTGAAGCTTTGACAAATTATCTGTGAGGCGTTTGCCTTTGATTTATGGTTTTGTCTTGTTATCGGACTTGGCAGGCAGCTTTCGGGAAAATTGCCACGGATTCCTCCAGTCAAAGGAATTTAACTCTCTCGTTCCTGGTCCTGTCTGTTTGTTTATATTCCTTTGGAAATTTGGACTCTCATCTCGTGGTCACAGGTGAGACAGAACACCTTCATATTCATTATCCTTTTATACTTTTATCTGTCAGGTTTACAATTTCATTGCATATTCTTATTTCATCATTTCACAAATTCTAATTCGATTCAAACATTTCAAAAAGATTCCCCCCCCCCAATTACTAATTTGAGTGTGCCATCCATACAGCTTATATATCCTTTTAAATTCCAGTATTCATTTAACTTAATTATTGCCTAAAAAATTAATAATCATAATCTCCTAACTATATAACATATATACCTTTTAGGTCAGCATGCGTAAATGTTAAATGATGTATTTATGATCTATTTCAGGAAATGGGTTCTTGTCTCTTAAGCTCCAGTTTCTAGGTTAAAATTATCACAGGAACTGCTTTCTTTTCTCTCTGAACCGGCGCCTCCAAGTGCAGCCATGTCAAATTCGGTCCCTGCCTGCTCCGTGGTGGGAACCGGCCCTGAGGCTGCCACATCAGAGCTGTAGTTCATGGGCCTCTGGTTCACGTAGTTGGACCCGGGGATAAAAATAGGCTACAGACATGTATGGTATCTGGACGGGTATGGTTGGCAGGATATAGGTATAGGACGGGATAGTATAGGACGGTGGTCGGCAACCCGTGGCTCTGGAGCCACGTGTGGCTCTTTCATCCCTCTGCTGCGGCTAGCTGTCGCTGGTTGGCTCCACAGTTAAGAGGGCTTCCGGTTAGGACAGGTAGAAGAAAAAGGACGCCATGCTAGGAGGAGACTCTATGGTGGGGGAACCAGACTTCCAGTTGACAAGAAAAAGGATGCTGTGCTAGGAGGAGACTCTATGATGGGGGAGAGCGGACTTCCGGTAGGCAGAGGAAAAAGGACTCTGCACTAGGAGAAGACACTATGGTGGGGGGAACCGGACTTCCGGTCATCTCTGGAATTGATAAGGATTTTGGTTAGGATAGGTAGAGGAAAAAGGACACCATGCTAGGAGACTATGGTGCGGCGGGAACCGGACTTCTGGTGGGCAGAGGTAAAAGGAGGCCGCGCTAGGAGGAGACTCTATGATGGGGGAAAGCGGACTTCCGGTTGGCGGAGGAAAAAAGGATGCCGCGCTAGGAGGAGACTCTATGATGGGGGGAAAGTGGACTTCCGGTGGGCAGAGGTAAAAGGATGCCGCGCTAGGAGGAGACTCTATGATGGGGGAAAGCGGACTTCCGGTTGGCAGAGGAAAAAGGATGCCGCGCTAGGAGGAGACTCTATGATGGGGGAAACTGGACTTCCAGTCAGCTCCAGAATTGAAAGCGAAGCTTCCGGTTAGGACCTTTGTCGCTCTTGTTTTAAGCAGGGGGTTGGACTAGAGAAGCGGGTTGGACTAGAAGACCTCCAAGGTCCCTTCCAACTCTGTTATTCTGTAAATCTGCCTCCCACTCCCAAGCCCCAAAACCAGTCCAGAAGGATACCATGCTCAAAAAGCCACTGAGAAGTTCAAGGGGCAGAACTCTCATGGTCGTTTCTCTAATGTCCATCTTTTAAAAAGTGTTAAACTAGACCAAGATTAATAATGCAGGTAGTCCTCGACTTAACGACCACAATTGAGTCCAAAAATTACATCGCGAAGCGAAGCATTTGTTAAGTGAGTTTTGCTCTGTTTTCATTTTTGCCACAGTTGTTCAAACGAATCACTGCAGTTCACTGTTACGTCAACCACATGGTTGCTAAGTGAATCTGGCTTTCTCATCCACTTTGCTTGTCAGAAGGACCGGGGCGGGGGGGTGTCACATGGTCCCAGGACCCCGGCAATCGTCATAAACACGAGTCAATGGCCAATTGTCTGAATCCCCCCACACAAGCATGAGGATTGCTGCATCGGTCATAAGTGTGAAAAACGGCCGTAAGTCACTTTTTTCCAGTGATGATGTAACTTTGAACGGTCACTAAATGAACTGTTGTAAGTCGAGGACTACCTACAATTCAACTTTTTTTTTTAAAAAAAAGTATTTAAACATTTTGAAGATGGGTTCATTTAATTTTGGAATCCAAGAGGATGGGAAGTTGATATCTCTCTCTCTCTCAATCTCTCTCTCTCTCTCTCTCTCTCTCTCTCTCTCTCTCTCTCTCTCTCTCTCTCTTCCTTCTATACATTTGTAAACAATACAGATCATTACAGAAAAAAAGCATTGTACATTTATAAAAAAAAAATAACATTCTTCTCAATTTCTTGGCAGATCTTCTCTCATCCAGGATGTCGTCGGGAGTAGTAGTTAAATCGGAATTTCAGCCTTGGGAAGATGGGTCAAAAGGTCTCGCAAGGCAGCTTCCACGCGCCTTCATTTTGAAAAGACTGGCGAAGAAAAAAAACAGTCCCGTTTTGTTCAGGAAAAGGCCCAGATAGAGACCCATCATGGATCGTTGCAGTGAGCCTGCTGGGGAAAAGACGGTGGATCATTTTAATTTATTTGTAATAAAAGCTGGAAGTCTTTCGTTTAATAGCTTCCTCTCCTGAGTGGAAAAAAAAAAAAAGTATTTCGAAACACGTTTGCTTGTTCTAGTCTTTCCCCATTTCCGTATAGCTCGCAATGTTTCACTTCATTTCCCAATGCCTTGATTTTAGATGAATTAACAGATCCACACCAGAGGTGGTGAATTAAGCAGGTTCTGACCGGTTCTGGAGAACCGGTGGCGGAAATTTTGAATAGTTGGGAGAACCGGCCAATCCCACCTCCGACTGACCCCGCCCCCATCTCTTCTCTGCCTCCTGAGTCCCAGCTGATTGGCTGGGTCTCCTTTGGTTGCCCTGCACAGGAGAACAGAGCTGCAAAGCAGGTTATTGGGGTGGGGAGGGAATGGGATTTTGCAATAGCCTTGCCCCTGGTGGGAATGGGAAATTTTGCAGTATCCTTTCCCTGGCACTCCCACCAAGCCACACCTTGCCCACCAAGCCCCGCCCACAGAACCGGAAGTAAAAAATTGGATCCCACCACTGATCCACACCCTTTATTTCATTATACAAGATACGTTAACACTGGCTTCACATTGGGAGTAATGGGAAAACAACACAAAATGGTTTGCACAGACATCTTTTGCCCACCAGTTCTGCATTTCTATAATGTTAATCTCTCACAGCTTGTTGGCCAGAATTCTTCCAAATAGTATCCGATATTCTTTATTTACTGGATTGTTATCCCGCCTGTGTTATTTTGTAAGCAACTCAAGGCAGTGAACATACTCCTTCCTCCTATTTTCCCCACAAAAACCACCCTGTGAGGTAGGTTGGACTAGCCCAAAGTCATCCAGCCAGCTTTTATGCCTAAGGTCGGACTAGAACTTTTAGTCTCCTGGTGATTAGCCCAAAGTCACCCAACTGGCTTTCATGCCTAAGACGGACTATAATTCTCCATCTCCTGGTGATGGGCCCAAAGCCTTCATGTCTAAGGCAGGACTAGAACTCAAGTCTCTTGATGATTGGCTCAAAGTCACCCAACTAGCTTTCCTGCCTAACTTCGCTCATTGGAAGGTCGCAAAAGACGATCGCCTGATTTGCCAAGCATCTGAATTTTGATCCCATGATGATGATGCAAAGTTCATAACTCTAAAAAAATGATTATAAGTTACTTTTTTTCAGGGCCGTTGTAACTTAAAAACAGTCACTAAATGAATTGTTTTATATCGAGGGTGACCTGCATTAACTGTGCACAAGTCAACAAAGTTCTGACCCAGTTCCCCAAGCACCACAAACCCTCTGAAGTGAACTCAAAAGATTCCTTTAATTAGGAATGCCAGCAGCTCTGCCAAAATAGTTTCTCTCCTACCATAGGCTAACAAGTCTGTCCGGCAAGGAGATGAATAGTTGTGTGCCACATCTATTCATCTCCGCCCCCTGACTTTTATCCCCAGAGCTAGGGTGGGGCTTCGCTAGCAGAGGTGGCTCTTCCGTCCCAAGGTCCGGCCCATAGATTTCCACTGCTCTCCTCTCCTCTGCCTCCTGTGCATCCATATGTCAGGCACTGGACCCAGTTGTTCCTCCTCTCCCTCATCAGCCACCTCCAGACCTGGGGGTTGTTGACTCCTCATCTGAGGACTAAGATGGCCGCTGCCTCCATCTCTAACAGCTCTGTTCCCCCTCGGAGCTCTCAGGTTGATGCTGACCCTGACTCCCACGCCGCCTCCTTGTCTGATTCACCTGCTGGAGGGACCGCCAGCCGACGGGCCACAACACGTAATTTGGACTCAACCTGGACTGACATGGGGAAGGAGAAAATGGAAGAAAAACTCCTCAACCTCCCCTCCCCACTTACCTTCTCCCAGTTCCGTCTTAATAAACAGCCTTCTTGTAGCCTTAAATACCGTCGAGTTATGTTTAACCAGACAAGTGAAGAGCGAGGCGTTCCAATTTTCGGTGGCTATGATTTCCAGGGAACTCTGGCGAGAGTACGTCCCGTTTGCATTCAAAGTTGCCCTAGCGGACTTTCCTTTCCCGCTGGGATTCTTGCAAAACAAGTCCACTTTGGCCACGTTTGGATAAAAATATTCTGCGTTGCAAGTAACCGTCACTGAGGTGTTCAGCTGGATGGGAGAAAGCGGGTCGGTCTCTAGACGTACCGTGGGAGGAACTGAGCAAAGAAAACCAAAGAGTTTGATCAAAAGAAGCTCCTGCACGCAGATGCGGCTGGAAGACTTAATGGGGTTTGCTCTCTGTGGTATAGGTGGAAACAACCCCTGTACGAAAAATCCAGAACCTGGTTTGCAGGAAGCCCAAGATTAAATCTTAACCACCATGAACAAAGAAAAAAGAAAGAACTTGTGACCCAGATCTCCAAACACGACAAATGCTCTGAAGTGAACTCAAAGATTTCTTTATTAGGTATGCCAGCAGCTCCGACAAAAAAGTTTCTCTCCCATCACAGGCTAACAAGTCTGTTCGTCCGGGAGGTGAATAGTTATCTGCCACACCTATTCATCTCCGACCCCTGCCTTTTATCCCCAGAGCTGGGGTGGGGCTTTGCCAGCAGCGGTGGCTCTTCCGTCCCAAGGTCCGGCCCATAGATTTCCACTGCTCTCCTCTCCTCTGCCTTCTGTGCATCCATATGTCGGGCACTGGACCTAGTTATTCCTCCTTTCCCTCATCAGCCAACTCCAGACCTGGGGGTTGTTGACTCCTCATCTGAAGACTAAGATGGCCTCTGCCTCCCATCTCTTAACAGCTCCGTTCCCTCTTCCCCCTCGGAGCTCTCAGGTTGATGCTGACCCTGACTCCCACGCCGCCTCCTTGTCTGATTCACCTGCTGGAGGGACCGCCAGCCGACGGGCCACAACACGTAATTTGGACTCAATCTGGACTGAGATCGGGGAAGGAGAAAATGGAAGAAAAACTCCTCAACCTCCCCTCCCCACTTACCTTCTCCCAGTTCCGTCTTAATAAACAGTCTTCTTGTAGCCTTAAATACCGTCGAGTTATGTTTAACCAGACCAGTGAAGAGCGAGGAGTTCCAATTTTCTCTGACAGCTCCGTTCCCTCTTCCCCCTTGGACCTCTGAAGTTGTCTCGATGCTGACCCTGACACCCACACCGCCTCCTCCTCTGATTTGGCTGTGGGAGGGTCTTGCGGCCGACAGGCCACAACACGACCTGAACCAATTCTTGGCAAATCTCTGTCCTCATTAATGTTTACTTTGGGCGTGTCTGGACCTTGCTACCATCAAAAAATATGAGTCAGTTGCAAAGCATCTGAACGTTGATCATGTGACCATGGGGATATCGCAACACTCTTTACAGGACTATTTACAGGAAGCAACTTTGGACATAACTAAGCATAAAATGGGGCTAACGGGAAAAAGAAGAAATAGCACAAAAAATTAAAAATGCTAAGCAGAACTATTTTGAAGATGCAAACAAACCAGGCAGATGGCTAGCTTATAAATTGAGAAAGGAAAGAGACTTGAGAAGAATAAATCAATTGATAAATGAACGAGGGCATGCATGCTATGGAAATGCAGAGAAGAAAAAAATTATTCAAGATTACTATGGAAAACTGTACCATCAAGAGAACGTTCAGGAAGAAAGAATTCAACAATATTTACAGGAAGCAAATGTATGAAAAACTGTTGCAAGAGGCAAATGGACTTCCTAGTTTTTCTTTGAAGAGGTTTCACTTCTCATCCCAGAAGCTGCTTCAGCTCTGACTGGAAGGTGGGGAATGGAAGGGTTGATATTCCTTGCAGACAGCTGGTCATTTGCATCCTTCTAGAGAGGAGTTGAGGCCACTTGGAGGTTTAATCTGTGTCCTCTGGGTCACCTGAGTGGTGCATATGGGTGTGGAGCCTTCCTGCAACTGCTGAAAGGACTGTGTGAGAAGCGTTAATAAAGTATCCTTTTTATGACTCAAATCTCACGTTGAAAGATAGCTTATGTCCTTGAAGTAAGGGAGTGCAGTACCAGACACCAGTTACTTTTTTGGAACGCCTTTGAAGCGCTGGGAATTATCACACTCTTTTGGAATGTCTTTGAAATGCCAGATACCGGGTAAGAAAGTGTCTGTTATGTGCTGGGTACCAAAAAGATAATAAAATGTAACTTGTATCCTGAAAGATATATTGTAAATCAAGCCATTTGGATACCGGGGAGAGAGGAGGTAGTTTTAGAGTATAAAAGTAGAGCGAAATCTATGTTTTTCGTTCCTCCCAGCTGCCTAGGGTGGAACCCATCTGCAGATGTATATCCAATAAAGCCTCCTTCCTTGGATCAACTTTGAATCCTGGTGGTTTTTCTTTAGCCACAATCTCACAACTGTGTTGTAGAATGGAGATAGATTCTGTCGTATCTCCCTCCCTCTGTTGAGAAAGGGCTCTTTTATTTGGAGATAGGTGGCTTCTTGGACCCCTCTTTCAAACCAGTGGCCCTCTCGGTCCAAAATGTGGACTTCGCTGTCTTCAAAAGAGTGGCCTTTGTCTTCTAAATGCAGATAGACTGTTGAATCTTGTCCTGATGGTCAGAGTATATTCATGAACTGGAATAGAGTAACTTGGTAACAAGGTCAGCCAATGAATAGGCATAGCAACTAAGTCAGCCAATGAGGGCTGTTTTTGGAAACTGAAACTAGATGTAGCCTAGGCTGGAAACTGAAACTAAAACTAGCCTAGGCTGGAAACTGAAACTAGAA